GATGTTTTTGTTCTCAATATCGTAGATATATATATATATATATATATATATATATATATATATATATATGTAAGAAACAAATAATGTGACTGCAGACCCAACCCATCATTTCTTTAATGTTGAGGTTGAGTTCGAAATATGCAAATAAATAAATCAATAACGTTGCCAACATTAAAGTATTTTAAATATTACTCCAGAAGTCAATAATGTTGATAAGTACTTCTTTACTAATAATCTTGTTAATTTAAGCAAATTTATGTTATGTTTCTTGAATCAGATAAAAGTTTTCCTAAGTAACTAGTTTTTTAAATATTTATATGTCTATATATACACTTCTCCATGTCTCTGACACAATCAAAATTCGAATTTATTTTCATACGGTACAACTATCTAGCATATGCTTCAAATTATGATGTACATATACATATCCACCTATCAATGTTTCTGACACAATTAAAATTCCAATTTATTTTCATGCAGTACAAGTGTCTAGCATATTCTTTAAATTATGAAGTACTAAATTATTTTTGTTGTCACCTATTATGCTCGTTGTAAAAGTTTTCTTACAATTATCTCTTTATTTAAAATTTGCAATTGTATTAATTGATCTTCTGGACGGCAATAATTAGATTGCTAGGAGCTTGTCATTGTAATTTGAGCTAAGGAGAAATTGTTCGGGTTTTAGACTGTAGATCCTATATTCTACCTATAGGAATTGTGTTCATGTCCGAACTGTCAAAGTCAAAATATACAAATAACATATCATGTCTTACAGCGATTCCCTGTTCCAAGGCGAAAAAAGAGTACAAAGGGACCGGAAGCATTTACTTCTGCTTTTATTTTGGTGAAACACATTTATAGTGACCACACGAAATGCTCAAGTAATGGTAACTAAAAATAACCACGTATATATAAATAGTACACACACATATATATATATATATATATATATATATATATTTGGCACTTGTATATTTATCTTCTACCATAATAAGTACCTCGTGCTTTCGTTGACCAAATAGGGTTTCACATTCATATATAAATAGTATACACTCTACCATAATAAGTACCTCGTGCTTTCTGCATTTTTTTTCTCTTAATATAAGATGGAAAATTGAACAATTAATATACTTTATGTTCAGTCAGATATGAATTTAATATAGGATGGATAATTTAGTTAACTAATATTCCTTATATTGGAGTGATATATGAATTTACCGTTATCTATGTTGCCTAGCATTTTACTATGCATATTTTTTTCATGCCTATGGTTGTACATATCAATACAACATTGATTTCTTCTTGTTTTTTTTTTCTTTTCATGTTTACACATGATCATACAATAATTAACCGTGACCAAATATTACTATCAGGATCAACCCAACACGTATGCCCTAGTGGTCAGCACAGAGAGCATGACCCTAAACTGGTACGGCGGCAAAAACAAGTCCATGCTGATCACCAACTGCCTCTTCCGCCTCGGCTCCTCCGCGGTCCTCCTTACCAACAAGTGGACGGAGCGCCGCCGCTCAAAGTACCAGCTCATGCACACCCTCCGCACCCACAAGGGCGCCGACGACAAGAGCTATCGGTGCGTCATGCAGCAGGAGGACGAAGACGGCAAGGTCGGCGTCGAGCTCTCGAGGGACCTCCTCACCGTCGCCGGCGAAGCCATCAAGACCAACATCACCATGCTAGGCCCCCTGGTCCTCCCCGCATCCGAGCAAATCCTGTTCTTGGCCAACCTAGTAGGACGTAAAATCTTCAAGATGAAGATCAAACAGTACGTCCCGGACTTCAAGCTCGCCTTCGAACACATTTGTATACACGCCGGCGGCCGCGCCGTGCTCGACGAGATCGAAAAGAACTTGTCCTTAACAAAGTGGCACGTTGAACCTTCTAGAATGACGCTTTACAGGTTTGGAAACACCTCCAGTAGCTCACTTTGGTATGAGCTGGCTTACACCGAGGCCAAAGGGCGGGTCCGAAAGGGGGATCGGGTTTGGCAAATCGCATTCGGGTCGGGTTTCAAGTGCAACAGTGGTGTTTGGCGTGCATTGAGGAGAATTAATCCGGCAAAGGAGAAGAATCCATGGATTGATGAGATTGATGAGTTTCCTGTTGATGTGCCTGATATTCAACCCGTTATAGGGCACTAAAAAAATAATGTTGTTATTAATTAATTAAATACATTTACTTGTGTCTTTTTTTTTTTTTTTAATTGTAAGGCCCTTCTCTTAGTGAAGCTATAGAAGTTGTTGGGAAGGGCTTGGTTTGAAGTACTAGTCAAAGCATGCGTATATGTGTGCATATATCTATGATCTATCTAGCAGAACAATATTTAATTATGTTGTTTTTGTCATATTTAATTAGAGTCAACAATTGAAAAGCATAATATAAGCTATTTTATTTATTTTCTAATATTTTATTTAAGCTAGTGGAGGGCACTCATTTTACGTTTGTCCCTTTTTTTAAAGCTATATATATATATATATATATATATATAAATGGTAAAAACACGTGTATATATGTATTTAATTACTATATTTTCTTGGTAATGATAGCCAGCTACGGTAAGAATGTGACATTAATTAGTTCGTAGGAAAAGCAAGGGAATATATTGGTGAAAGAAAGTGATGATCATAGATCTAGATCAAGATATGGGTTTATGATGCGTGTAATTATGATGAGCTAAATTTAGAGGATCATAAAAGGGAACATTATCACTTCACAACATGTGAAATCATAAAGTAGGTAAGTCAATTTTATTGTGAGGAAGATTTTCTTTTTTGAAAAACTTCAGGTGATTCACGTTGTTGTTTTTATATTGTATTAGAAATCATCATACATGTGAAACCACTAAGTTTTTTTTTTTTTTTGTTTTGTTTTGTTTTTCATGTTAAAAAAATCATAAAATAATATTTTTCTTAAGCAAGTGGATGTATATTATGGAATATTCTAGATCTATTGAAGTTGATTGTTGAGATCAATATATCTCATTTCCTTTTCCTTTTTCTCCTTTTCATCTCAAACCCCGTCCTTTGTCCTATAATTGAAATAGATCATAAGAATCTTTGTAGCTAGATTTTTTCTTTTGTTTTTGTTTCTCTCGTTTTTTATTTAATGAGATATTACATCACAATTAGATGGTTACCCACTAGAAATCATATCCCCCACTCTGTCTTCCACTTAATTTTATTTAAAAATAGAAAACAACAATACAAATAAATTAATAGGCATAAATAACAAGCATACACATCTTTATATTCTAAAATAAATTAACATCTATAACATAGGTTACTTTGACAACAATATTATATTAATCAATTTATTTCAAACTGTAAGATAATTAGGTGCAATAATAATTAAATAAAACAAGACAAAGAACCAAAATTTCATTTTATTTAATTAAATATTTAAATTCCTTTAATTAATTTGTACTTAATTTCTCAATGGGTTAAAAATTACCCAATTGCCCAAAATCTCTAAAATTTGCAATTTTCCCCCCTTATGGCCGCAGGTATAATACCTGCAGCCCTTCACTGAAGCACATGCCCAATAGGACCTGTGTTGGCTTCTTCTGTCACGGGCCCCCAAATGGGCCTGTGTTATTTTTTTTTGTTTGGCAGCTTTGGGCTGAAGCCCAGAGCTGTTTCAACCCTAGGGTCACAACATACTATCGCGACCCTTGACTAGATGTGGCGGCTGCCACTGCGTGCAGCTGCGGTGGTACACCGCGGCTGTCTTGTCACCGGCTTAGCCAGGAGGCTACGTTTAGTTATCCACAGTGCCGGTGGCGGTAGATGCTGCCGCCGGCCATGAATTTTTTTTTTTACTTTCCTTATGCGGCGGCCTTGGTCGCCGTTGTTCCTCAAGCCGCGGGAAAAAAAAAATTCTTTACCAAATTTCCTTAATTCCTTATTTTCCAGAAAACCAAATTTTGTGAATAACAATTAATCCGAAAATTATTCAACAAATTTTGATCAATATCAATCACCAAAAATTCATATAATTATTAATATTCATGCTTTTCTCAACAAAATAAAGCATCTAAAAATTCCATAGATAAAAGAAGAATCATTTGAATCAATCAACATAATATTCAACCAGAGATATTGGAGATGAAAATTCTCTCAATAATTTAATGTAATGATTGCTCTGATACAACTTGTTTGTGTTTAATCCTTATACCACGTCCATGAATCAGCACACTAAATTACTAAGAAAATATGTTGGACCAAATACCTGTCTCCATTGGTGCAGCCTTAATCTTCAGCATAAATCTCTAAGACAACGAGTACGTCAAGTTATCATCTTCCTCAGTCAAATCACCAGATTCTTTAATGGGTGTTCTCTCTCTAGATGGGGAAGAGGAAAAACAACCGAATGATTTGACGTATTGGGAACCATAACCTAAGTTTCTTTATATATTGTCTCATTAGGCTCCCATTAAACCTAATTGGGTCAATATTGGGTATCCACTCATTTAGCTCATACCCAGTTAGGAGACTATTTGGGCTCTGCATAATTAGACCACTTAATTAGCCCAATTAATTAAATAGCGTCCATATAATTGTTATAAATATGTGGCCCACAATTATTATTAGAAAACATAATTTCCTAACATTTATAGATTTTGTTTTTTGTTTTTTTATGTTTTTATGTTTTTGTTGTTGTTGTTGTAAATATGTAACTTTTGAAGTAAGATCTGAAAGTTATTACTTGAAAAAATATCAACACCAGTAATGGATTGTTATCCGAATAATTAGAAGAACTAACAATAGACGGGGTCAATGCATTTTGAACCTATATTTATTTGCACACCAATAGATAAAAAGACCTTCATGTTCATTAATCGAACTAATAATTAATTCAACTGTTTAATCTGATCAATATTATAATGAATTTTTTTTTTTTTACCTCAATTTCGATATTTTATGGATCAATAATCTTAATATTTATTTTGGTTAAATGAAAGTACAATGGTAGATTGAGAGTTATTTCTAAAATTACAGCTATGACATAGCTAGGTCAGTGACTTTTCGTAAAAATTGAAGTAAGATCTGAAAGCTAATATTAGTGAAGAAATAATAAGACTACTGATCAGAGAATAAATCCTATAATAAAAATAATAGAATTGTAAAAATTCTGTACAGGGGTCAAATTTAATAATTAGTACAATATCTCAATTTGATCGACACGTCCAAGAAGAAAATCTCATATTAAATAGTACTCATCATAAATATTTTTATCATTTTGGAAGAAGTAAATATGTGAGACTGTTGTAATTATATATATAAAAAAAAAAGAAAGATAGTAAATAGATAGAAGAAAGATCATGTACGTACATGTTAGGAAATAAATATATGTCAGGCTGTACACATTGTTTCCACAGGAATTATAAAATGGACATGTCATATGAATAATGTTAGAAACTACTAAGGAATATATTATATTTATATATATCTTGCTAGACGATCGAGGAATGGAAACGGAATAAATTGATTGTATTTAATTATTTGGGAAATCGTAAAGAACAATACTGTGGGTTACTGTACAGTTGATCATGAAAGATCTTTCAACTTTCAAGCACCCGAACGACACTATTTAATACAGAGGAAATGGAATTCTGAAATATATAGAAGAACGAAATTGATTAATTAAATATGAAACATAAAATTGAGAATTATATAATAAAAATAGGATACAGAAAAATATTCTAGTAATTAATAAGATTTTGTTTTCAACCCTCAAAATATTTTGTATCAACATTTCTTAGTTTTGCATATTTATTTATTTTTTATTTTGATAAATTTCAGTTATGATTAAACATTAAAAGCATGCATTATCAATAAGAATGCCTTGTATATTATATGTGTGAAATGTTTTCATTCGGTGGCCGTACCACTTCATTAATTGTAACAGTATATATTTGTCAATGTAACATTATTGTGCGTTTGTGTAACACTTATTTTGTTTAATTATTGTAACACTAAATAAAATATAGTCTTCTACTATATTACATTACACTTCTTCAGTGTTATCGTATTACACTAAATAATTGTAAATATGTAAAAAAAATGTTACACTTACATTACGACCGCCGGAATTAAACAATTCCTATATATATATATATTTATATATATATAATATTAATGCTGATCAGAGTCACATGAAAAATGACAGTGGGAATCTACACGTGTTCACGAAATCACTGTTATATTTTGGTACCATATAGTTAATGTCGTAGTAAATTTTTGGTCCATGATAGGTGTAGTTCAAGGAGTAGCTTTCTGAGATCCAAGCCATCTGCCTTTTTTTTCGGTGATAATTATTATCAAATTTACTGAGCTCATCAATGCCCTATGCTGACTTTTAAATTGGGTTAAAAACAATATTAGGCACCGTAAATATATACCAGAATAATCGGTTTGGCTTGAGACTTGGAGCACCTTCGTCTAATTGAGAGAGAGCACTACAGGAAACGTTAAATTTAACATCTCTTAATAGATGACAGTCGTCTATATTACTGACTAGTTAGTGCGCCAGTTGACACAGACCTTAGACTATAATTTTCACTAAAATCATTGTCAAAATTAAAATATTTAACGATAGTTTTTAATAAAACCATCGTTTAATTTGGCGCTTTCTCTCTGTCTCTCCTTCTTTGCGACCTTCATACAACTCCAGCCGTCCCTCCTCCGTCATCGACCCAGCTCTCTCTCCACCCGTTGTGCCATTCTTCTTGATAAAGTCAATGAAAAATTTATGTTGTTTCACTGCAAAAATGTTGAGGAAAAAAAGGAAGAAAATCTTACCATATTACCATTAAATGCATTTGAACGTTAGAGCTAAAATATGGCAAGGTGGCTATATAATTTAAGAGATTCCTTAGATGATTTGTTACCGTTGGTAATTTAAGAGATTTCCTTATTAGATAATTTGTTATCGTTGGTTTTTTTCAATATATATATACTCTTATTTGAACAACTTGCTCAGACAAGAAAAAGTGAATAGAAATCTTTTCTCAATTCATTGCTTCTTGCATTTTTTAATCATTCTATTTAGTGCAAAGTCATTACTTCTTTCTCTCTCTCTGTCGCTCCCTCTATCAACCATCCCCTTCTCTCTATCGCTCCCCTCTCTCTCACGAACATCGCTCCTCTAAAATAGAACACCCGCCATTGTCGCCACCGTCGTCACCAAACCGCCACCATCGTCGCCAAACCGCCACCAGCCGCCACCGTCGTCGCCAACTGCCATCCTCTATCTACATATAAACATTGAAGTGTTGATTTTAATGTTATTTTTCATTCAAAACTTATTTTTGAGGTTTTATTGTTTAAATGGCTACTATTAGACGATGGTTTTTATTAATTTATTTTTTCATCATATTATTGTTAGCATTGTGTTGATGGCCGT